GCCCAGGCGGGTCTTGAACCTCTGAGCTCAGGCAATTATCTTACCTCCACCTCCCAAAAGTGCTGGGATTACAGGCATGAGCCACTGTGCCCGGTTGACCATCAACTTTTTATTTTTTTTTGAGTTGGAGTCTCACTCTGTCGCCCAGACTAGAGAGCAGTGGCCGCTACCAGCCACCGCAGCCTCGGCATGCTGGGCTCTGGTGATCCTTCCACATCAGCATTCCAAGTAGCTGGAACTACAGGTGTGCACTACCGTACCCGGCTAATTTTTTGATTTGTTGTAGAGATGAGGTCTCACCAAGTTGCCCAGGCAGGTCTCGAACCCGCAGGCTCAGGCAATTCACTCACTTCAGCCTCCCAAGGCGTGGGATTGACCATCAACTTCTTAACCTATGCTGATCAGTCTTATAGCCCAGCAGTCAGTTCGAGAGGCTCTTATCAAATTTCAACTTCACTTGGTCAATTTTTAATCCTCATCTAATTCTTAGCAGTGTTTTACACAGCTGACTACTCCCTCCATCTTGAAACATCTTCTGTAGTACTGCAGATGTCATACTCTCCTTTTCTGCTTCCATCACTGTTTGCTCTTCTTTTGGTTGGAGTGCTCCCAGTCATCTGCCTTCTATTCCATTTACAATCTCTAAATGATGTCCTCCAGATTATAGGTTTAAATATCATCTATAAAGCATAACTCCCAGATTATTTCCCTAGCATAACTTCTCCCAAGTACCAATCATGGATATCTGATTTGTCCACAGAACATATTCTCAGATGTCTAACAGTCATCAAACTCAGCAAGTCCCAAACAGAACTCATGATTTATCTTTCAGAAACTGATGCTCCGTTCCTGGTCTTCCCTATTTCAGTACATGGCACTACTGTTCACCCAGATCCTTGGGCAAAACAGCTGATTATTCAACTGTTCTGAATAACAATTTTTTTGGTCCATGAGTGAAAGCAAGATCCATTTGACTATAGCTTTAAATTATATTCCAAATCAGACCTCTTTTTTATTTTTAATTTTATTTATTTATTTTTTTTGAGTTGGAGTCTCACTCTGTCGCCCAGGCTGGAGTGCACTGGCACGCTCACAGCCACCGCAGCCTCGACGTATTGGGCTCAGGTGATCCTTCCGCCTCAGCCTTTCAAGTAGCTGGAACTACAGGCACACGCCACCATGCCTGGCTAATTTTTTAATTTACTGTAGAGAAGAGAGCTCGCCAAGTTGCCCAGGCTGGTCTTGAACCCATGGGCTCAGGCAATCCTCTCACCTAGGCCTCCCAAAGTGCTGGAATTATAGGCAAGCCACCACATCCGGCCTCAAATCAGACCACTTCTTACCAACTTTCAACTCTAAACCTCTAGTTCAAGACACCATATCTCAACCGGACTACTACAAAAGCCTCCATAAGTTGGTTTCACTGCTTTTTTTCTTAGATAGTCTGTTCTCCACCCAGCAATCAAAGTATAAATCAGATGTCATTTCCCTGCACAAAATCCTCTAATTAGGCTTCTCACTAGACAAAAAAAAAAAAAAAGGATTATGGGGCTCCATTTTCTCTAATCCCTTGCTCAATACTTGGATCTCATTTCTCACCACTCTTCCTCCATTTCACTATGCTCCAGCTGCACTGGCCTTCTAAGTATTCCCTGAATAGGTCAGGTTCACTGCCACCTCAAGGTCTTTGCATTTGCTGCTATCTGAAAAGTTCTTCCTGTATTTGTTTATTAAAAGCAGAGTCTTGCTCTGTTACGTAGGCTGGAGTGCAGTGAACTCCTAGGCTCTGGCAACCCTCCTGCCTCAGCTTTCTGAGTAGCTGGGACTACAGCCACAAGGCACCATACCTGGCTAAATTCTTTAAATCTTCTTCATTGGCCAGACACAGTGGCTCTCGCCTATAATGTGAGCACTTTGGGAGGCTGAGGCAGGAGGACTGCTTGAGCCCAGGGGTTTGAGGCTATGGTGAGCCGTGATCATGCTGCTGCACTCCAGACTGGGTGACAGAGTGAGATCCCGACACACACAAAATTTTTTTTTTTTAAATCAGCACTTTGGGAAGCTGACGTGACAGGATTGTCTGAGCCCATGGGTTCAAGACCAGCCTGGGCACCTTGCTGAGACCTCATCCCTACAGTAAATAAAAAAATTAGCTGGGCATGTTGGCGCATGTCTGTTGTCCAAGCTACTTGGAAGGCTGAGGTAGAAGGATCACCTGAGCCCAGCAGGTCAAGGCTGTGGTGGCCATCAGCGTGCCACTGCACTTCAGCCAGGACAACAGAGTGAGACTCCAACTCAAACAAACAAAACCTCCTTCTATCACTTAGGTTTCTAGGTAAACATCAAAGCGGTCTTCCCTGATGACCCTATCAAAATTATACCCCCATCCCAGTCACTTTAACCATTAACCTTGCTATATTTTTTTCACATTTATCATTACCTGAGACTATATTTGCTTGCTTATAGATATAGCCTCTCTTTCCTCAAGTTCCATGAGAGCAGGCCTATAATAGTACCCCTGACACACTGCAGATGCTCAATAAATATTTCTTAAAAGCCGAGTTCGCTGGCTCAGCCTGTAATCCCGTGCCTTTGGGAGGCTGAGGTGAGTGGATTGCCTGAGCCCGCGGGTTAGAGACCCGCCCGGGCAGCGAGACCTCATCTCTACAATAAATCAAAAAATCAGCTGGGCGTGGTAGCGCATGCCTGTAATTCTGGCTACTTGGAAGGCTGAGGCGGAAGGATCACTGGAGCCCAGCAGTGAGGCTGCGGTGGCCAGGAGCGGCCACTGCACTCCAGTCTGGGTGACCGAGTGAGACTCCAACTCAAAAAAAAAAAACAAAATTTCTTAAGTGAATGTACTATCATTTTCTTAATCACCAAGGCTTGAAATTTCAGGAATCACTGGATGGGCTTTTTCTGATACGAGTTAATAATGGAGCGTTAACACACAGATATGAGCATAACAGCAAAGATTTTTCCCATTGTTTTCCAGTACTTGAAAAATCTACCCAAAAAAAAGTATTTTATTTTTTGAATCGGAGATCTTACTTTGTCACTCAGGTTGGAGTGCAGTGGTGTGATCACAGTTCACTGCAGCTTCAATCTCCTTGGCTCGGGTGATCCTTCCACCTCAGCCTCCTGAGTAACTGGGGAGGCTAATGCACACCTGAATAATTTTTTATTTTTTTGTAGAGATGAGATTTTACTGTGTTGCCTAGGATGGTCTTGAACTCCTGGGCTCACTCCTGTGGCCAAGATTAAGTATTTTAGAAGACTCAAACAATTAAATATCACTTCAGATCGTCATATAGGCTTGGCATGGTGGCTCATGCCTGTAATCCCAGCACCTTGGGAGGCTGGGGTGAGAGAACTGCTAGAGCACAGGAGTTCGAGACCAGCCTGGGCAACATAGCAAGACCTAGTTGCCATAAAAAATAAAAAAATTAGTGGGGCAGGGTAGTACCCATCTACAGTCCCACACTACTTAGCAGACTGAGGAAGGAGGATGGCCTAAGCTGTACTCTAGCCTGAGCGACAGAGTGAGACCCCAACTCAAAGACAGAGAGAGAGAGAGAGAGAGAGCGAGAGAAAGAGAGAGAGAGACACAGACGACGGACAGACAGACATGGAGAGAGAGCCTGATATATAGGGTTGACTATAACTACTTTTTTTTTTTTTGAGTTGGAGTCTCAGTCTGTCACCCAGGCTGCAGGGCAGTGGCGCGCTCCCAGTCACCACAGCCTTCCAAGTAGCTGGAACTACAGGCACGTGCCACCATGCTCCGCTAATTTTTTGATTTATTGTAGAGATGAGATCTCGCCAAGTTGCCCAGGTGGGTCTCGAATCTGTGGGCTCAGGCAATCCTCTCACCTCGGTCTCCCAAAGTGCTGAGATTATAGGCATGAGCCACCACGCCCGGCCGACTATAACTTTTGGCTGTAAAATGCTGCCTAATTATATCACAGAATTACCATCTAGTAGTGAAAATGGTTCCTTCCACTTGAAATAAGTGTGTGAGCGCGCGCGCGCATATTTTTTGAATTGCAGGTATTAGATAAATCTTACATTTGAGAAAATGGGGTACAGTCATTTAAACTAGGAACCCCAGTTCATCACTGGCAATAAACAACAAATATCCCTGACGGTCGGGATCACAGTTATCTTCTTGCCATTGTATCTCCAGAATGAATAAATCCACGTGTGAACTGTGATGTTTCAACAACAGAAATTATATCATAAACAAGATCAGAGATTGATCGTCTTAGGTCACTTGACAGAAAAGGAAACAACTATTTGGTGATCAAAAGCAAATAGGGCAGTTAAAAGTGAGGCTTTAAGATTCTAAAGAATTTCGGTTTTCGACACTAAAAGCGATGCAGAGTAGAAATGCTCGCGCTAAATGACAAACTCCACAGTGAATAGGTTACTAAAGAGATTTCAGTTCCTCAAGAGAAACTCAATGGGCGCTGTAATTGACACTGGATACCGCCTTTCAGACAAGACTGGGAGAGAAATGCACGAAAGCGCCAACCCACCAAGTCGGGCACAGATCGCGCAAAAAAAGTTGCCCAAAAGGTAAACTCGGGGTCCCGCAGCTGGAAGGAGCGAGGGATCTCTCCAGGGCATGGGGGCTGACTTCAAGGAAAGAAGAATCTGAGAGCACACGAGGAAAGCAAAAAGGAAAAGCGACAGGGCTGCCATGCGCCTAACTCCACCCTCCCCGCGCTCAGCCCGAAGAAGGCGCAGTCTCGCCGCCTGCCGCCCCTCCTTCCACCTCTTTCCGAGCCCACCGAGCGGCGCCTGGAAAGGTCCCGCCGCCCTCTCCTCCCCTCCCCCAAACCAGGAGCTAGCGAGGCCCAGGGAGGTTAAGAGCTTCCGCTCCTTCCCCGCCCAGATGGGAAGGGGTGGGAAGTGGGACTGCGAGCGCGCCCAGTCCCAGCCTCCTTCGTCCTCCACGCGTTCCCGGAGCTCCGTTCCCGCCCCGGCCCGAGACTCACTCGTCAGGCCCGCAGTCACCGCAGCCAGGTCCCCGAGTACCGCCACAGCCCCTACTCCAGGGCCGACCCCCCCACCCCCAGCTGCCTGCCCCCGTGGGTTCCGGGGCATTCGGAGGAATTACTTCCGCTGGGTCACAGCCGCTTTCTGCGACGCGCGGGAGATTAGTACCTGGTGAGGCGGAGACACAGAGTCCGTCACTCACTTCCGTCTGGAGGAAGTGCGTAGCACCCCTTCCCTTCCCCCACAGTAACACAGGCTTGCCGAAACGTAGTCCCCGGAAAATTTCACCCAATCCGAGTCTGGGTCTTCTGGATTCCCAGCATGCAGCGGCAACCCTGTTCTAATTTCTGCAGGGACAGCATCCTTAGGGGTGCACTCGGGCCCGACACCGCACTGCATTCTGGGATTCGGAGTTTCTCGGATGGATGCGGTCGGTGGTGGGCTCGAGGCGACCCTGCATCCTGGGACTTGTAGTTTTTCGCGCTGCGTGTTAAGATTTCGGTGGCTTTAGAGGTTGTCCTTGCCTGTCGTTTGGGGCTGCGCCTGGAGGTGGGAGACTGCAGAGGAAAGGTTGAAACGTAGGAGGGCGGCTTCTGGGCTAACAAGATCGTGCTCTTAATGAAGCAGCATCTGTCCCTTTGTCAGAGGTTGCGGTGCAAGCTGAAAAGCATCTCGAGGTTCGTGCCATCAGCTAGCCTCATTTCCTCTTTTCCCGGTAACGTTCAATGTTTACTGAAAACAAACCACGCCTCCCACCCCCACCCTGGGGGTGGGGGTCCTTTCCCCGCCCCCTGGGGTTGCTTGGCTTGCCTCTGTACTGAGCACACTCACAGAAAGTCCATGCTCCTGCCACCCTCATTATTCAGTTCTGGGATCGTGTTTCTCGGTCTACGCCCTCCTTCGCACCCTCCCCCTTTCCTGTGGCTAGATCTGCAGGCACCTTTCCAGGAAAGCTGAGACAGCTAAATAAAGTTCACCCACGGCCGGGTGCGCCGGCTCACGCCTGTAAACCCAGCACTTTGGAAGGCCGAGTAGGGAGGATTGCTTGAGCCCAGGAGTTCGAGACCAGCCTAAGCAACATAGCGAGACCGCCTCTCTATTTAATAATAATTTTAAAAAGGAGCCGGGCGTAGTGGCGCTCCTATACTCCCAGCTACTGGGAAGGCTGAGGAAGGATGATCGTTTGAGCCCAGAAATTCGAGGCTGCAGGGAGTTGTGATCGTGCCCACTGCACACCAAGCGGGGAGCCAATGAGACCCCGACTCCACAAAAAATTTACCTTCCACTGTCTTTGAAGAGTGAGGCGTGAAAAGAATGTGGGACCAAGACCCCACTGCGAGTTGCTTCATTAGGCATTTTGTGTCCACAAAAGGGGAAATAGATCCAAGTTATTCAGTGTTTGTTGAACGAATTAATGACTTTTTCTTGAAAGGCTTTCTTTTGTTTAAGTTGATTTGGCAGATAAAAGTATTACTTTTTTAGAATTGCAAGAACGACACATAGTCTGGATAAACTTTTCAAAGTCTTTGCACAAATCATAGAACAAAATTTTTTGGCTGTAATGGTAGTTTAGTGGGGAGGAGAGGTATTGGGATGCAAAAGAAGAGACTGAAGAGCCAGGCTCGGTGGTCAGCCTGTAATCCTGCGCCTTTGGGAGGCTGAGGTGAGTGGATTGCCTGAGCACGCGGTTTCGAGACCCACCTGGGTAGTGAGACCTCACCTCTACAATAAATCAAAAAATCAGCCGGGTGTGGTAGCGCATGCCTATAATTCCGGCTATTTGGAAGGCTGAGGCGGAAGGATCACTGGAACACAGCAGGTGGAGGCTGCGGTGGCCAGGAGCGGCCACTGCACTCCAGTCTGGGCAACACAGTGAGACTCCAACACACACACACACACAAAAGAAGAGACTGAGCCCATTTTCAGCTGCATATTTTCTCCTTTCGTTCAGGAGGAGAAAAACAACAAAAATATCAAAAATTACATACAGTATTGGTGGGCATACTTTCTAAAAGTGATATCCATTTTCAGTCTTTTCATTAGCTTCCATCTTTAAATGGAATCTCTCAAATAATATGAATGGGGAACCAAAGGTTATTATTATTATTATTATTACAACAGCCTTGGAATCATTCTAAAATCCCATTCAAGTAGTTTGTATTCAACAAATGTCTATCCGGGTGCGTTGGCTCACGCCTGTAATCCCAGCGTTTGGGAGGCTGAAGCCAGAGGATTGCCTGAATCCAGGAGTTCAAGACAGCTTGGGCAACTTGGTGAGACCTCGTCTCAACAATAAATCGAAAAAACTTAGCCGGACTTGGTGGTGAACGCCTGTGGTTCCAGCTATTTAGAAGGTTGAGGTGGAAGGATCATCTGAGCCCAGCAGGTCAAGGCTGTGAATGTGCAGTGGAACATAGTCATGGGCCACCACCCTCGATTAATTTTTTGATTTATTGTAGAGATGATGTCTCGCCATGTTGCTCAGGCTGTTTTCTAACCCCTGAGCTCAGGCAATCCTATCGCCTTGGCCTCCCAAAGTGCTGGGATTACAGGTGTGAGCCATCGTGCTCGGCCATATAATATTTTTGATATTTTGAGGGAACCTGAAATTTCTCCTCTGCAAAGCTTAGTTTCTTCCTACAGATAATGTAAGTAGATGAAAATAATAACATTGTTTGGTCTACTTCTCAAGGTTTCCAAATAGCTAAAATGAGTTAATATTCTGAGAATTCTGTACTATGGAATTGTTATTTAGGATTAAATGCATTTTCCAGTCCTAGTAATTTAGACTATTTTATTTTATTATTTTTTGAGCTGAAGTCTCACTGTCATCCAGGCTGGAGTGCAGTGGCATGCTCACAGCCACCACAGCCTCAACCAGCGGGGCTCGGTGACCCTTCTGCCTCAGCCTTCCAAGTAGCTGGAACTACAGGCATGCACCACCACACCCAGCTAATTTTTTGATTTATTGTAGAGATGAGGTCTTGCCAAATTGCCCAGGCTAGTCTTGAACCGTGGGCTCAGGCAATCCTCTCATCTCGGCCCTGCAAAGTACTGGAATTATAGGCATAAACCACTGAGCCTGGCCATCACGCCTGTCCTAATAAAGTTCTTTTTTTTTTTTTGGAGTCGGAGTCTCACCTGTCACCCAGACTGGAGTGCAGTGGCATGCTGTTCACGGCCACTGCAGCCTCAACCTGCTGGGCTCAGGTGATCCTTCTACCTCAGCCTTCCAAATAGCTGGAACTACAGGCATGCATCACCATGCTCTGCTAATTTTTTGATTTATTGTAGAGATGAGGTCTCACCGAGTTGCCCAGGCTGGTCTCGGACCCGTGGACTCAGGCAATCCTCTCACCTTGGCCTCCCAAATTGCTGGGATCATAGACATGAGCCACTGTGCCCAGCCATAAAGTTATTCTTAAAGAAGTAGTATCATTTTCTCCTTCTGGATACTTCCAAAAGTTGATAGTATTAGGAATTGTCCAGGTGTTCATATTTTAGGCTATGAATTTGTTCCTCTTCTATTAAATAACATGCCAAATCAAAAAAGTTGTTCTGAAATGGTGGTAAACAATAGTGTGTTTCTGGTAGTCAGATGCTCATTCTTCAAGGCTCAGCTGAATGTAAAACCAGTCTGAAGACAATCTAAGGTCAAATTAATCATGCTCTTCTTTGTACTGTGGCATTTTGTGTATTGGTACGTCTCAATTATATTACATTATATTCCAGCTTATTTTAGGTGTTTTTTCCCATGATGGGAGTACCGTGGATTCTGTTTTATCCATTATCTCCTTTTATTTTTTTTATTTTTTATGAGTCGGAATCTCACTCCGTCGCCCAGGCTGGAACGCACTGGCACGTTCCCAGCCACCGCAGCCTCGACCTGCTGGGCTCCAGCGATCCTTGCCTCTCAGCCTGCCAAGTAGCCAGAACGACAGGCGCGCGCTACCACACCCGGCTAGTTTTTGATTTACAGTTGAGACAAGGTCTCGCCAAGTTGCCCGGGCGGGCCTCGAACCCGCGGGCCCAAGTAATCCACTCGCCTCGGCCTCCCAAAGCCACGGAGCCCAGCCTTTTTTTTTTTTTCTCTTGGTGTCAGAGTCTGATTGTTGTCCAGGCTGGAGTGCAGTGGCACCCTCTCCGCCACCGCAGCCTCGACGTGCTGCGCTCAGGCGATCCTTCGGCCTCAGCCTTCCAAGTAGCTGGAACCACAGGCATGCGCCCCCACACCCGGCTGATGTTTTGATTTACTGGAGAGACGAGGTCCCGCCAAGTTGCCCAGGCTGGTCTCGAAGCCCTGGACCCAGGCAATCCGCTCGCCTCCGCCTCCTACAGTGCAGTATCCTTGCGTCTCCCGTTTCTAGCCTAGCCCTGGCAATAGGCACGCGGAACCTCTTTAACCCGTAATGAAACGAATGCGTATACGGAAGTGAATGATTTCTGAAGACGAAACGTGAGACCAAGCACCAGTATTATCCGGACAAATTCCACTTATTTTCTACCGTCCCAACGGCTCCGTGACGTCACGTCTGGGCTCAAGCCGCGCATGCTCTCGCAACGCGCGGGGCGG